TACTTGTCTCTATCAGAATAGAACCAAAGAAGAGAAATAAAACCTATGGAGACAGGATTTAGAGAGAGTACAAGAACTTAAGAGTATAAGGAAAGCCAATAATATCAATTTTCATGTATTTTAATCATTCTCTAAATGGAGATTTTCAAACTACCATGTTCGTAGAAAAACCAAATAACAAAACAAACTACTAAACCAAAATAAAATAGGGAGATTCTAGACTGAGAAACTACCCTAATAACATAAATCACTAATTAAAATAAACCAAATATTAAGACAAATTAATATTATGATCTTCATCACATCCTTTCCGTTGCTTTATTTTACAATTATTTTTTTGAAAAGACGTTACTTCCTTTATGAGTGTTGCATTGTCATCATCATACGTACAGATAAATGGAGATTTACCATGCAGTGTATGCTTTAGCCGTTTCTTTTATTGTCATTTTCGATACTTTTTTTTATTTCCTTTTTTATGTAACTTATCAATTAATAACTTAGGGATTAACCTTGTTAGTATAGACTAAAGATATATGTTAAAGCTCTAACTGATTGAAGTCTTGAACTACCGAATTTCTTACATTTGTGGTTTTTGAAATTGATTGAACTATTTTTGCTCTAGATATCGGATATTGAAAATCTCGTAGTGGCACCAATATCGAAGGCTTCTGCTAGGCAAAGAGCTGGTAGGGCAGGAAGAATTCGCCCAGGGAAATGTTACAGGTGTGTGACTGGAGTTGCTGTGTCACTGAATGATTTTTTTATTGCAAAGAATATCGTTAATTTTAATTAATTTAAGAGTGCGAACTGTGTCAGGAACTAATCATGAACATGAAATACTGTTTTGTTAACATGTCATGTTGCTTTTGGTTATACTTGTGCACCTGTACCTCACCATCGTTCTTAGGATGCTATTATACTTGTGCCTGTACCTTCCCATCATTTTCTGACTAGTTATAACTTTATAGTGCTCTACTACTCCAATATCTATAATCGCTATTCCCAATGCACTTTCCCTTTTATATTTAGATGTAGAATTTTTGACCCACTAAAACCTTCTGATTAGTATCTATTTTTTAGTTATATAATTTACTTGTACCTAAAACCCTGATACTAATCAAGTTAGGTGATTTACATTTACATGTAAATCCATGCTTCTCTCTTTCAAAGCATATTCTAGAAATTATGGCTTAACCTTGAAATATTTGTTTGTGGGTGCAACAAGGCTATACGCAGAAGAGTATTTTATCAATGAAATGGCCACAGAGGGGATTCCAGTGATCTAACGATCTAATCTTGTTTCCTGCGTCATTCAAGTATGCCATTATGTCGTAATGGTGTGAAACTAATTGATTGTATGCAGAACTATCATATCTGAAAGAGTACTAGCTTCTTAAAAAAGTTACATCCCAGATGTATTTTCTCATTTCATGGTGCTAATCATCATTTGCAAGTGAACATGTTGTATGAAAGATTACTTTACCTGCAAAATTGACTTTATTGTTGTTTTAAGTTAGGAGTTGGAATTTTGTTAGAGACTATAAATTGACTAGAGTTCCTTCTTTCAAATAGTATAACGTGTCCTTACTACACCTTTTTGACTCCACAATGCATTGTCACTTTTGAAAAATCATACTCTAATGGTATATTGACTTTGATCTTGCTCTTCCACTTCTTAGTTAAAAGCCTTAGGAATAAATAATATCTTGGGCTTTGATTGGCCAGCATCTCCATCACCTAAAAACATGGTTCGGGCACTTGAAATACTTTATTCACTTGGAGTCCTGGACGATAATGCCAAACTTACTTCTCCGGCTGGATTCCAAGTTGCACAGATTCCATTAGTATATTAAACTTTATTCTCTTTACATATTTTTAAGCCGTTTCTATGCCCCAAGTCGGTGTTGTTATCCCTGTTCTATAAGTCTTAAGAATTTGATTTTATCTCTCTATGGTTCTACATTACGATTCTATAATTTTACTCGTGTTTGATTGCAATATTTTTAGGATCCAATGATTTCAAAAATTATCTTGTCCTCAAGTCAACATGGATGTTCAGAGGAGATAATAACTATCACTGCCATACTCTCCATTCAAGTAAGTCCTCGTTCAATTAATTCATAGGTTTATTTTCCAACGGAAAAGAACCTGCTACATGAACAAGGAAAAAGAAGTATAGCAAACGAGTAGAATATAGTACAAATATATGAGCGTCAAATAAAATATAACCGTAATGTTCCCTTGGACACTGTTAACAAGTATGGGGCCGTACCGGGGCTGCCCCGGGGCCGTACCGGGGCAACCCCAGGGCTGTACCGGGGGTTCCCTGGGACTGTACCGGGGCTGCCCGGGGCCGTCCGGGGGCCGCCCCGGGCCTTAGGTAGAACTCATCCCTAAAAGCTAGCTTGTAGGGGGAGGATTCCCAAGTGTTTATAAATCCACATGCTAATCCCATACTTTAACAATGTGGGACTCAACCAGGATCCTAACAGATTGTTTTTACTTTTTTTCCAGGGTGGATAAGTAATACTCTTGTTCTTATCCCTGTTAGTTTGTGACGTAGAAAGCCTTTTGGGGATAGATTTTATCGGCCTAACCCGGACGGAGCAAGGAATTGAGGTTCCAAATCCACCTAAAACAAAGGAACAAGAGAAAGATCTCTCTAATTTCTACTCAGATGATCAAAAACTGCTAATCTTCCTACAGACCTCGCCTTTTAAGGCATTAGGGAAAATAACCAAACACCCAAAGTGACATGTAGTTTAGTACATCTAATAAGTCAAAATGACATTACAATCACATAGCAACAAATATAAATACACCAAAACAACACAACTCTATTCAAAATGCCAAATGACTATAGGACATAAACAACTATTGAAATGCTTCTGCATCAGTTTGGTTGACTTTTAAACTTTTTTGTTATGGCGAGCAGGGGGACCATGTGACCTTCTTGAATGTTTATAAAGGATTTTTCCAGTCTGGTAAATCTTCACAGTGGTGTCATAAGAACTTTGTGAACTATCATGCCATGGTGCGCTTCTATCTTGGGAATCTTTAACACGTTTTCATTCTGCTCTTTCTTCATTCTGTCATGAAAAATGAAAAGTTGGTCTGTAAGCTTCTTTTAAGATGCTTCCATCCTGTGCATTTTATTGGGGTCTGTGTGTATATTCTCTTCCCTCCCATCCTCTTGCTCCCCTTTTAACTTTGCCATCTTTGATTGGCTTGCGCTTTGCAGAAAAAAATAATTGAAATTCGAGATCAACTCAGAAGAACGGCACAGAGAATAG